TTAATTAGAGGAACGGCAAACGGACGCAATCACGGTGCGCTACAGTTTAAATAAACATTGTAATTACACTATAATTATATGAATGTCGTTTCAACATTGTCTGCTTTTTATTCATTTTTATTTTGAATGCATAGCATTGTGTACGCACTGCGTATTTCTTACCGAGCAGCTCTATATTATTATAATAGTTTTTGCCCGCGACTCCGTCCGCGTGGAATAGTTACTTTGGCATAACACTAAATTTTACCCCCCATTTCATTTACGTAGAAAGTGAAAATATTTTTGAGTTATAGAATGTTAAAGAGCCATTTAAAGCCCTATTTTGAAACATTCTTTATTGGTGCTCCACTTACCGTATCTAGTTTTGCCGTGATGTTATATAGCCTTCCTCAATAAATAAAGAGACATATTTTGTTATTTTAATTGATAATTTGAGTTACGATTTTTTTTTTATTTTACATGATTTATTATTTCCTAAAATACTGAATTTCCTAAATACTTTCCTGTACTTAAACAAAAACGAAACAGCAAAATTTAAGAGAAAAATCAAGAAAACCTACATAAAATTGAGCACGATTTTTTTTTTTTGCAAATTGTGTCGATTCTACATTAGCCGAAGGAACTTCGTTCCTACCTGGTGTCCCACGAAACCACATCTATTTTAAGTTTTTCAGTGCTACAGGAAACATTTGTTTTTTTTATTTCAATGCTCTGAATGGAGAAAGGTTTACGTAAATTGATTACTAGAACCTATAGAATCACAGCTTGGAAGCATTACCCTACGATGATAGCAATTATGACTTAAAATTATTCGTGATTAATTTAACATTACCAATATGAAATACACAAAAAACACCAAAATATACCTATAATAATATGATTTTTAGAATGAAAATAAGATTTGTATATCAGAGTTTTAATGCCCAAATGGAAGGGGACATTAGGTGTCAAAAAATAGATTTGAAAAATCGAAATTGAACATGATTGCTAACACTCTAACCCACGGATGCGTTTTCGGTAGACAACGGCTTGGCATTGCTGAAGTCCATGGGCGACGGTAACCACTCACCACCAGGCGGTATATTCGTTTATATACAAGGACAATTAAAAACTTGAAACTGTGGTAATTGAATTCGTAATAATTAAGAATGAGATGCCACCGCAGCAAAGCTCTTACCTACAATTTATTGTCATGAAGCTGTCACGCACCCACGTTTAGATGGTTAAAACTGTTGTCTTCTAATTTGACGCTTTAACCTCATACCCCAAGACGGATTGCAGCAACCACTCTGTGATATCCATGGGCTCTAGTAACTAACCACCAAATTGCTTGCGATGTACTTAGACAGCGTAGATGGATGACGGTCACATCTACCTGGAAGAATTCAGTACAAATTTTTATCTCGCGAAGTTTTACCTTAGAAGACGCGACGCCAAAGTTTCCGTGCCTATATAGTTCGTAGAGTGCACTGCAAAATTTCGTTTAATCCAGCATGCTCGATACACCGTTTTAAGAATAAATAGAAAGTCCGTTAAAATCAAATTGAACGTAAAAGTTTATATTATTCTAACTAGTTTTTATTTATTATTTATTGCTTAGATGGATGGACGAGCTCACAGCCCACCTGGTGTTAAGTGGTTATTGGAGCCCATAGATATCTACAACGTAAATGCGNGCACTGCAACATTTCGTTTAATCCAGCATGCTCGATACACCGTTTTAAGAATAAATAGAAAGTCCGTTAAAATCAAATTGAACGTAAAAGTTTATATTATTCTAACTAGTTTTTATTTATTATTTATTGCTTAGATGGATGGACGAGCTCACAGCCCACCTGGTGTTAAGTGGTTATTGGAGCCCATAGATATCTACAACGTAAATGCGCCATCTACCTCGAGATATAAGTTCTAAGGTCTCAGTATAGTTACAACGGCTACCCCCGCCCTTCGAACCATTACTGCTTCACGGCAGAAATAGGCGGGTCTTCTTCGGCGTTCTTACCATTACACGCAGCAGAACTTATAGGCCACTTGATGGTGAGTTGTCACTTACGCTCGTAAACTTCAGGAAAGTCGGGGGTACAGTCAAGTCCTTCCCACTGCTTAGGACTTTTTTCGAACCTCGTGTGAGGAAAAAGATGTCACAGCTGGAGCTCATTGTACTACCGTATTCATCTTCTTATCAGCCCACAGACGTCCACTGCTGGACATAGGCCTTCCCCAAGCCTTGCCACAAAGACCGGTCCTGCGTTGCCTCCATCCATTCGATGCTGGATATTACCTCTAGTAACGGGTGAATATGGACTCTTGAAAATTACTGTGTCTAAACGCATCTGCTCTAGCTAGTAGGGTTTGTCCGATTAAAGCTGCTTCAAATTTAAAAATAACTACCACAACTAACAGTCACCACATAGAACGCGGCTAAAATAGAAGGACCAGGCAGTCGCAAAATCATTAATATTACCCATTCTGAATCGAAATCAACATTTTAGGTCACAACACATCGTGATATTTCACAATACATAATTGCTCGCGTACGAATATTACTTTTACATTCAAATATGACGGGTGCAACGTTTGAACAATGCGATGAATCAGTCGACCTGTAATTATAGTTGATAACTGTTTCATATACACAATGCGTATAATTAGTGCAGCGAGAGCCGTGACTGAAATCAATTTTGTTTTCATAGATGAAAAATTGGTGACGGACTTTATAATATAACTACGTGGTTTTATTTATACTAGCGGTCCCCTGGTAGTCGAAATTCGACTATAATTAATTGGAATTGTAAGCTTGTACACTATTATGATTGTATTTTATACTTCTATAATCAAAAATTTCGCCAAGACTACACTATAAAAAATATTAACAAAGACAAACAATATTTAATCTATTCTCAATTTGACAACAGATGTCAAGAACAAAAGTTTGACAATAAATAGTATGCATGCGTGTGTGTGTCAAATACATGGTAGTGTGTGTGTAATGTTTTCTTTATTGATTTAAAGTATCTTTTATGCATTATTTAAAAAAAAAATTAGCATTGTGCACTCCTTCTCTATATTCTCTATAAGTGTGAGAAATTTCATACTCATCCGTCCGCGCAATTTTCGTAAAAAGGGGTACAAAATTTTTGCTTCACGTATTAATATATAGATGCTTTTTTTTTTTTTTNACATGGTAGTGTGTGTGTAATGTTTTCTTTATTGATTTAAAGTATCTTTTATGCATTATTTAAAAAAAAAATTAGCATTGTGCACTCCTTCTCTATATTCTCTATAAGTGTGAGAAATTTCATACTCATCCGTCCGCGCAATTTTCGTAAAAAGGGGTACAAAATTTTTGCTTCACGTATTAATATATAGATGCTTTTTTTTTTTTTTTACGTTGATTTTGATATTAAATTTAGTTATAGCAGCAAGAAATTACGATGTTCATTAGATGTCGTAACTTATGTAGGTATACGACAAAGGGAAGATCTCCCACCGAGCGGGTGATATTGCTCGGTAGACCGCCACATAATTTCCCGCCCGTGCTGAGATTAGCTAGCAAGTGCCAGTGCTGCTCGAAGTCTGAGGTGAGTCGAGACTGAGCTTGAATGATGCGTCAGTACCGTGAGTAGTCCATGTTTGCAGAGCTGCCACGCTGTAGATGTGTGACCCCAAGCGTTGATGATCCGGCACTGGGCTGCGATGAACTATAGCGTCGTGATGATGCAGTGAAGGTGCGTGCCGAAGGACCAGGAAGCGCGGTGAGTCAGCTGCGATGGATCTGTTGAGGATGCTGGCTTGCTGTGGGACGAGTGTTGATGACTTGTTTATATCTGCGATAATGCGGGCATTGTGGTAGCTGCAGTTTAGATAAAGTGTGAAAGCTGCAATTGTTCCGTCGCAGGTCACCAGTTTGTACGACAAAGGGAAGATCTTCCTCCGAGCGGGTGATATTGACCGACGCTGCGACGGTCCGAATATTGTTGTTCGGAACTTGAATGTAAGCCTGTATGCAAGCTTATCAGGCATCTGTCAAATATCTTGCGTTTGTGTGATGGCTATCCGCCACATTTATGCACCTAATTGAAGCCTATAGTTTTTACTACTCGATTAACTCACTTAAGCCCAACATGGAATTCCATGTACCGTCGTAACACTCATCACTGGCCCAAACTTCATGACGACTTCTTTAAATCATTACGTTCATCTATGTGTTTCCGAGTTAATTTTAACATATACAATTAGATGCTGAGATAAACTCCGCTCTAAGGCATTGTCTGAGCGCTACGATAAGCTCTTTTTATCATGATTTTATTTACTTGGTATGTGTTTAATTATGCGTACCTAACGGAATTTTATAATCTCTATATATAACAATGAATTGCTGTTCGTTAGTCTCGCTAAAACTCGAGAACGGCTAAACCGATTTGGCTCATTTTGGTCTTGAATTATTAGTGGAAGTCCAGAGAAGGTTTAAAAGGTAGATAAATATGAAAATGCTCGGAATTAAATAAAAATAACAATTTTGGTTTTCCTTTGATGAGTCCCCCGTCGGACCGATTCCTTTTGTTTGTTTTAAGTTTATTTTATACAAAAATTTTGGTCTTTTATTTATCGATTGAGGCATTACGAAGTCTGCTGGGTCAGCTAGCAGTTAAATAAATTTGGTTTAATATCCTAACAGATAAAAAATATTAAATTAATCGTGAGTTTGGTTTGCTATTTAAACTTGTTTATTTTTGTTTATTTTTAAACTACATAATTTATTCAAACGAGGCTTGAAAGTAGTCGATACGAATAAACAAGATACGTAGCATTTCTTTTTTCTTTTTTTTTTAATGGCAATCTGACGATACTGTAGCTTTTCTTGAACGAGATGAACAATATTGACAGATCTCTTTTGACAAATGGCATCAAGTCATATATGACTAAAATAATATATTGAATTGGAAGAATATTCTAGCGTTGGTTAAATTTTATATTTTTTGTTGTTTTGTATTTTTATAATGAAGTTTGGTAATATATGCTTTTGATTATTCATTGTCTTTGAATGAAATATCTAAAAATGCGATTTGAACAGAAATAAACATTCACATTGTACTTAAGTCGAAACAAGACAAAGGAACATCAACTAATACTTTGAGTATCGCTTCGATGATAACTCTGAAACATCGACCACTGTGCGAGGTGCAAACAACTAGGCCCGCCTACGAGACTACTAAAGGGACAAAAAAGAAAATGCGCAGTCTGCCCTCGCTCCTAAAGTAATATAGCACAATTTTTATCTTGCAGATTTATACTAGAACACACATAGACAGAATGCAGCCTGCAGACACGCACACGCGGCCGCCGCGAGGTGCTCACGTGCGGAGGCTGTGTGTGTGTTGAGATGCGAGCGCGAAAGTTTTGCATATGTGTAATGTTTCGAGATATACAGGTGACAGAGGAGATACGCGGTGGGCGGGGCCAAGGGAGGGGTGAAACCTATTGGAAAGAGATGGCCGACTCGCTATGATAATGATGTTATTGCTTTCTTGATGTTCGTTCGCTCTCCTTTAGTTTTATTATTTCTCGATCTACTTATAAGGCGATATAAACATTAAGTGTGAGCGCGTATAAAATATGTTTATTGTGTCGTTATAGTGGTCGGAGGTGCCGGGGAATGCAAAAAGTTAAGATTACAGATTTAAGATCGTTCTCGTATGGGACGCGTTGTTACTGCGGAGGTTGTCGTCGATAAAAGTTAATCAGAGATGACGTTTCATATCTTATGGCACTGATATAATGGTTTAGTGTTTCTTGTTTGCAGGAATTACGCGTTCGGTACACGGATGAATCATGCGGATACAAAAAGGAATGGGAATCCGCGTTTGTTCGTATCGTTGACTCGAATAACTCGATGCATCGGACCGAGATATCAACGTACAGCTGCCGATATAAATGCGTAAATTATTACACTAAGGAACTGATTACAATCATAATATAATCCGACAGTGAGTTTTCCTTAACAAAAGGCTAAATTTGTTGATGGCTCAGCGTCAGTTTTAATTCATCTGCTATTTTCATATTTAGCTACTACCAAAAAAAAAGACAGTATATTCTAAATTGAAGGGTGGGGCAGCCGTTGTAACTATACTTGAGATCTTAGAACTTATATCTCAATGTGGGTGGCGCATTTACATTGTAGATGCATATGGGCTCCAGTAACCACTTAACATCAGGTTCGTGTGAGCTCGTCCACTCATATGCGCAATAAAAAAAAAATTGTAGTTTTCAAAATCAATCACCCTGGACATAAAGTTTTTGTCTAAATGATTTAATAATTGATAAAAAAATCCGTTACACGCTTAATAGCTTTCACAACAAAGTAGATATTATTAGTGTAATAACCAAAAGGCTTTCTCTTCTAGAATAATAAACCGCAGATAATGTTTTCAAACCGATATTAATTATGGAAACGTCTGAGCGCTGTGAGCTACACCGCAAGTGTAGGGTCGTACGATTTACAACATTCTGAGCTGTTGTTTAAATTCGTTTTTTTTTATTGGTGTAAGTGTGCCATTGAGGTCAGAGCCCGCAAGATTAAGGCCACAGACCTTGAGATGTGAGATCGAATTCTGAAGTGAATTAGGATTACCCCTTTCGACACATGACTGCTTCACAGGTGAAGTCTCTTTAATCGAATTCAAGTACCTGATGCTATTTTTTATCCCTAATTATTCTGGTGGTCCTATCCTACTGAAACCTAGGAGATATTCCAGTTACGCACGGACGGGTACATGAGCTCACGGATTCCACCTGACAGAATTTGCTAATACTATCCCTAGCAAGAGCGGTGCTTCACAAAATCTACCACCGGATCGGAATCGCGACCCAACCAGAAGATCGTGCGAGAAATTAAGTGGGAGACTGATAGTGTCGTTGGTCACCGTCGTTCATGAATATTATCTAATAATACCGGGGACACAGCCAAGCCGCTGCTTACTGCCAAGGATTCCTCTAAAAATACATATACGTTCGCATAGGAAGCTCATAATCAATATCTTGGTAAGGAATCAGTGAAAAGCTGAAAAAAAGAATTAGCCGCTTAGATCGTTAGTTATTGGCTAATTTGCTGAGCTAATCCTGTTAACCGGCTAAATTAGCTAAGCCTATCGGTTAGCTAGCTACATAATGTAGCTAACTTTTTTAGCCGGCTTGACCGGTTAAATTGTACAGCCCTAATATCTAATAATTACTTGAATTATACTCTATTCCAATTACGAAGTCCCATGTGACAGATGTTATTATTGTTATTTAGTGTGAGTGTGTGTGTGTGTGTGTGTGTGCATGTGTGTGTGTGTGTGTGTGAATTAATTGCTTAATATCTATATATTAATACGTGAAGCAAAAACTTTGTATCCCTTTTTACGAAAATTGCGCGGACGGAGGAGTATGAAATTTTCCACACTTATAGAGAATATAGAGAAGAAGTGCACAATGCTAATATTTTTTTTAAATAATGCATAAAAGATACATTAAATCAATAAAGAAAACATTACACACACTACATACCATGTATNCGCGGACGGAGGAGTATGAAATTTTCCACACTTATAGAGAATATAGAGAAGAAGTGCACAATGCTAATATTTTTTTTAAATAATGCATAAAAGATACATTAAATCAATAAAGAAAACATTACACACACTACATACCATGTATTTGACGCACACACGCAAGCATACTATTTATTGTCAAACTTTTGTACTTGGCGTCTGTGGTCAAATTGAGAATAGATTAAATATTGTTTGTCTTTGTTAACATTTTTTATAGTGGCGAAATTTGTAATTATAGAAGTATAAAATACAATCATAATAGTGTACAAACTTACAATTCCAATTAATTATAGTCGAATTTCGCCTACTGCGGGACCTCTAGTTTTAGATTGATTGTGTATTTTTAAAATAATGTTTACGACCATGAACAAAAAATGATTATTATTTCAAATTATGCGAAACGTGAAGAGTTACGTTCTAGGAAGTGTCAAAAGAGACTTCGTAATTGGAATAGAGTATAATACATCTTGCTGCTTTTATGCTGCTAACTTCCCTCACCGTAAATACATCATCACATAGTATGCTGCATTAAAAAAAACCGTGCCGAGATAGATACAAGAAGACCTGGCTGCGAACTGATAAAAACAATTCTTGATTGTTTCCAAAAGCAAGCGATCACAGATACCGATAAGCTACTAATAACTATCATATATTAAGTAGTCAAAGTTTTCTTAATTAAAAGCTTAGATCAAATCGGTTTGATATATGCATTTTTCAGTTTATGGATCTCATAATTTTTTGTTTATCGCTACTTTTTTTTGTTAGGCGCCATTGGATGGTAGTTACTTGTTAAACATCGATTCTTAGTAACTAGATGCTGCGGGCCACAAATTAACATATTATTATCAATACAGCTAAAACTACAGATTACATTCGAAATCCAAAAAACCTTGATTGAATATATTAAAAAAATATTTTTTTTATTAATATTTAACAAAACTATTTCAAACAGAAAAATATATTATGAGAAATGATCTCTTTTACACTTTAAGAAATTCTAATACGATGATTAGAAACACTAAAATATCTGGTAAGAAACTATTGATAGTATACATACATACATGAAATGTCTTACTCAAAAGCGGTGCATTATTTACGACTTTTTATAAAACAGTTTCAGTTAGAAGTTTTTTTTTTAGTTAAACAATACGAAATTTGCAGGCACACACACATGGCCGTCACGAGGTACTTAGGTCACAGGGATCCCGGAAGACCTATGGTGGACCAATACGGTGGACCAATGACATGGTCAGGATGGCGCGGCGGACGTGCAGAAGAATGGCAGGCGATCGACATTATGGCATCAAAAGGGGATGCTTTATGCCCAGCAGTGGGTTCCAAGAGCTTAAACTAAATAAATAAAACAAAACAAAAAACTGAGACCGTTAAAGTTGCTCTACAGCAATAGTTATTGTTAATTTTTTTATAGAAACACTAGTAACGGACCTCCTCGCTCATCAAATATTGCAACAAACTGCTTAGACACTAAGACGCGTTTCTGAGAACCTAAGTAATAGTTTCAAAGTAATATTGCTCCTCATCTCTTGTTACTCACACGAAACAGAGTTGTAAATGTTGCTATAAATAAGTGCTGGACGCTAAAGACGTATTATAATGAACAAAGAGCCATTTTAATACTTCGAAGAAAAAAAAACTAATGTAAATTTTATTATTTTTTCAAAGTTATTTGACTGTAAAAAATTCATATAATAGTTATATTTTTTGTTTTCATTTTTTGAGAAATATGAGGATAAGTTACCTACCAATGAACGTCAATATGACTTATAGGATAACTTCGGTGTCACCAGCTTATTGGAAACTGGAAAAATGTGATAGTGATCATCGGAATGCAAAGTGAAGAACTTCTACAGTCTTTGTTCAATATAGATTCGGTCCGAATGTTCGGAACATTGTATTTATGAAATCATTGACAGCTCGATTGAGATTTATATATCAGAACTATTCGATGCTCTAAGAATTTGGCAAGAACAAAGTTACAACTAATGCGATTCAATAGATTTTTGACGAAAAATTTTTATTTAAGCGATTTCACATAATAGCCCCTGCCCACTTAAGAGACGATAAATTGAATTCTCAATTGCTTATAACGAATTTATGGCAGAAATAAGTAGGATAGTGATACCGAACTGTCTATCACAGTATGCTCTGTTTTCAGCAATCACGTTATAAGTTTCATTTTTGTAAGTCGTCGTGGCCTAAAGGATAAAACGTCCGGTGCATTCGTATCTAGCGATGCACCGGTGTTCGAATCCCGCAGGCGGGTACCAATTTTTCTAATGAAATACGTACTTAACAAATGTTTACGACTGACTTCCACGGTGAAGGAATAACATCGTGTACTAAAAATCAAACCCGCATTATTATAATTTGCGTAATTACTGGTGGTAGGACCTCTTGTGAGTCCGCACGGGTAGGTACCACCATCCCGCCTATTTCTGCCGTGAAGCAGTAATGCGTTTCGGTTTGAAGGGTGGGGCAAACGTTGTAACTATACTGAGACCTTAGAATTTATATCTCAAGGTGGTTGGCGCATTTACGTTGTATATGTCTATGGGCTCCAGTAACTACTTAACATCAGGTGGGCTGTGAGCTAGTCCACCCATCTAAGTAATAAAAAAAATAACATAAAAAGACAAATTTAAAAAACCAGTAAAAAAAAAATTTTAATAGTAGACTGTTTGCCCGTCAAACACCCAAAACAATCCACTGTAAATTAGATTAAAAAACTTGAGATATATAATTAGAGAGTGGTTTTCAAGATTTGTATGAAGTGTTCTTTACTGTGAAAGAGTCATTAAATTTGACACTCCTTGAAGGACCACGGTCCATCGTCTATTTATTATCTCGTTCAAGGATCTGATATTCAACTTTGTTGCTGAGACAACTAATTGAATTATTACCAGGCTTGAGAACATATTTAGAATGATCGTGCATCAGATATCGTTTTACAAATAAATTGGTTTTAAATTCCTCTATTTGCTTTTATAATTGGAGCATATAGACATTACAACGTCAATTTTACTGTCCATTGAAACAGAAGATGTTGATTAAACTTTGATATTATGGGTTGGTTTAATTTGGTCTAATCATCTATCCAAGGTCTAACTAAGCTGCTACATACTGCCTAATGTCCTTTTCTTCAAACTGGTACACATCTTGCTTCAAAACAATTGGAGAGATCATTCCTATTTCAGATTTGGACGAACACAGCCCTGGTTAATTGATTACCTGAGCCCATAATATCTCGAATGGAGGTGGAAGTTACTTGTACTAAGAAAGGGAACTGAAGAACTGTTACTAAGAAATTAAGAACTGTTATTATGAAAGGG